CCAGGTCATTTTTAGCTAACTTATTCATTATCGACTCAAAAATTATAAAATTCAAGCGATATATGTTCTAAGACGCCAGGAATTCGATAGGCATGCTTGCAGAAATGGTAGAGGAGTTTCAGAGGGGCTTTGAGAGGTTTCGAAACGATTTTCAACATAAATAGCAGGAAAAAAGGTTGAAAATCGTTTCGAAACCTCTCAAAGCCCCTCTGTAGCTCATATTTTCGACAAATTGTCAAAAGTCACTCTGATTTTCGACATAGTCAAATTCCAGGTTATTATTCGACTGTTGTCTTAAGTCCTTGTAATTTCGACAATTGTCGAAAATCCATTTTTGCGGTGGTCCAATCTGCGTTTTATTTTCATACGCAGAATTTCTGTTTACAAGTTGATTTAATAAGTTAGCTGAAATATATATGTGTGTCTGAGTGTAAATTCAACCTATAGGTATCAGGCGATACAATTACAGGACACTCGAATCTCACGATTAAATGAAATAAGTTTCTAGTGAGTCGATAGAGGTAAAATTTATCAGAGATGTATATGTTTACCATTTTCTAATTTCTATCGGTCCCAAAAATTTCTTTTACATCCGTATCCGTATTTGCCTTAAAACTTTCTCCTTTTTGCTTTCCAGCTAAGAACTTTTATTTTTCAAATAAGAGTATCACGTGACCGCTACGTTCACAAGTAATTTCTTCATGTATTTCCGGTAAGACCATTTGAGAGTACTTAATTGCCCTTTTTACTTTAACTTCGAGTACACAAGTCATATATTATCCTGCGCTATTATTCAGAAAAACATCGCACACTTGCTTGTGGATTGTTTTTTGCTTGATACGTTTCGTATCAAGACTTTATAAAGATAATATAAATAGTAATTATAGGAAGGAACATTTTGGTGAAAAACGTTTTGGTGGTTGAAATCAAAAAGGAAAAATATCTAAACTTCCGCGGCCGCCTTAAATATTGTGGTTGCCGGATAATTAATTATTTTCAGAAGAAAAGAAAGCAGAGAACATTTTTTCTTTTGCATCTCATCTTTTGTAGAAATACATTAGCAAGCGAGCCAAAGTATTCAGCTTCTCGTAAAATGCAAGTGTATCATCTGAACCATATTATAGTTAATATTCTTTTTTCATTCACTATATCGGCGTGGTCAAATGTTATGTCATTTTTTTCGTCTTTTGCGTCACTTATCTCGGTAAGAAAGCGGTACTTATTGATGACATTTATATCGGTGATGTATATTAGCGTATTCTACTACTAAAAACAATCTGAGCTTGAGTGATCAAGCAGATCGAAAGTCAAGAAATGAAATTTAGAATCTAAAAATTTTTAAATTAAGTTTTTACTTTGAAAATTTAACTTTCATTTGTTTTTGAGGTCAGATTCATAATCAGCGCGAAAAACTGTGTCGAACGATGTATTTTTAATTTTTGATCGCGTGAAAACAAAAAATCGAACATTCTGATCCAAAGTAATACACAATCCAATAATACACAAGAACCCTATTACTGTTTTCGTTGGCCAAAAAAAAGTTTGGCCCACTCCTTACTCGAATCCTGGGTACAGTGCTGCATCGACTTCGAACATTCGGGTTCGGTCTCATATGGATAGAACAGTTTGGCACCAATGGACGTATTTATTTTCTAAGAAGGAGTACTCAACCTTAAGGATTCTTGCTCAGGCGCGAGAGATAGTTTTTACATGGATCCGGAAGAAAAAGGAGCTAAATAGATTCTAGTTAATAAATTTGAATTATCTTGGTTCTGTTCTTCAACATTTATTTAATTTTATTGAATTACATGGTGCTCCATTCATGATTGATAATAATGATATTTAACGCACCCACTACCTTCATCGGTAAAACGGAATATCGACAGCTGGAATTTTGCCATACGAATTTTGATATTGTCGTTTTAGCTCATATTTTCGACAAATTGTCGAAAGTCACTCTGATTAGTCAAATTTCAGGTTATTTTTCGACTGTTATCTTAAGTCCTTGTAATTTCGACAATTGTCGAAAATCCATTTTTGCGGTGGTACATTTTTAAATTTTAAGAAATTAGAAAAGAAGTTCATACGATGATAGAAGTGGAATTTCTGCCATATCAAACATGTTCATATGTTTCAGTATTACTACTTTTTGCAACTGGATGTCATTTGGATTCATGTTGTCACTAGATTCGTGGTTGGTTTTTAAAATGAAACTTCCGATGACATAATTCAAATTCTTCAATATTTATTTATTTATTTTCTAAGAAGGAGTACTCAACCTTAAGGATTCTTGCTCAGGCGCGAGAGATAGTTTTTACATGGATCCGGAAGAAAAAGGAGCTAAATACATTCTAGTTAATAAATGGTGGCTACGTGGTTGTACGCGAGAATGCTACTTTTCGGTTGATTAACATACTTTTTTCTTATCATGTACATTTTCTACCATACCATATGTAAGTATGGTATGATTAGTATCGATCATACCATATATATGCATTTTGTGGTCCTTAGGTATTGTATGGTTAAGGTCCATTCAGTACATATGTATGGTATTGGGATTGTAACAGGCCTAATGCACATAATGTTTATTGTAAAATCATAATGTTATCCTTCTCTGAAAATAGACTCGTAATTGGTTGTGAATATTTTCTGCATAGTTCAGCTGCTTTTTCAGACTTTTCAATTGCTTTTGGATATTTCATCATTTTATTATAAATTCTTGCAATATTCATCAATTGTTTAATTGATTCTTTTATATCAGCTGCATGATTTAATGCATTTTCATAATTTTCTAATGCCATTTCATAATCACATTTCAGTTCATATACTTGAGCAATACGTCCATAAGTAATTGGGAAATTAAAATCTGTAGATTGTCGCGATAATTTAAATATATCAAGCGCTTTGAAATAGCTTTTTAATGCGCTAGTGTAATCTGACATGTCTTGATATAGACTTCCTATATTGAAATAAGTGATCGCTGTATGATAATGCATTTCGGGTAAAAATCTTAATTGAAGTACCAACGCTTTTGTAAGATAGTGATATGCTGCACGAAATTGCTTCAATGATAAGTATGCACTTCCAAGCTTATTGTAGGTTTTAGCAAGGTCAAGTGGATTGCCCTGCCATGTTTTCATATAATCGTACCCATCCATAGAGAAAATTCCAGCTTCTTCACATAATGCTAGCAGCTCATTTGCGATTACGTCTCTGAGCAAGACCAGCGTATTTTGAAACATATATATTGCAATATGATAATTTTGTTTACCAAGATAAATTAAGCCCATTGTGTAGTAGAAACCTGCTAGCTTGATGAGTCCGATTAGTGAAGTACCCGGTCCTCCTTGTCCCTGAAAAACACTTATGGCTAGTTTCTGCATCGATTTCAAGGCTTCATCGTGTCGGCCTAATGCTTTATAAATCGTAGCCATTTGAACCAGTAAAGTGTAGTGAATTTCATTTTTATAAATATTTTCCAATTCCCAATGGCAATGTCGAAGCGCCGCATCATATTCTCCCATACTATATAGAATATATATCAAACTATCGTCCTCATCCCGTTCTTTCGTATATTCCAATAGTTTTTGTATTTGTTCATTTTCATTTTCTAAAGTTAATACTATAATCCAAATATTAGATGCTGTTTCAAATGTTACAGTATCGATGCGAAAAACAAAACCCATTGAAAGTAGCACTTCAGATTCGTTCATTGGCGTAAACTCAGATATATATGCAAATGGTTTTCGTCGATTATTTGTAGGGATTTTTATTTCAAATAATATCGGTTCCACATTCGGTATATCGACTTGTGTCATAACGAAATTTAATGCGACATCTTTTTCCCAACTGGTTGATAAAAAACTGTTTATTGTTATTAAATTGCCAACACAATTTTTTAATAGATTCAAATCTTTCGTTGAAATACCTTGTCCACGATAAACTGTTGTAATCGTGTTCATTTCACTGAATTGTTCTTCACAAAGTATTTGAAGTTGATTATACAGATCACCAATAAAAAAACGATATTTAATTATTTCCTCCACATTATTCGATCGTAATGCTTTATTAATCAAACGATAGATAAACGTATCTTTAGCATACCATTTTATAGCATCACTTGCCATGTACGTTTCAGAAAACGTATTCAGTTTTTTCAATATAAAGCTGTTTGTACTATATTCTTGTCGACATTCATTTAACATTTCATTTTTTACACTCATAACAGACCAATCCTTTATTACACCATCTTTTAATTTCTGTTTATATTTCTGCATTGAATCAATCAGTTTATGAAACCAAATAAATCGTGCACTTTCTTTATTCAATTGATGTATTGTTTGGGCTTTCGAAGTAAATAAATTAAATTGTAGGCGTTCTTCACATGTCATACGTATATCAATACGTAATTGTCGTATTAATTGTGCAAATGTGTCATAAACACCACGAAATAATGTTGTTTTTTCTTTTAATTCAATATTGTGTACTTTGACCATATAAGTATAACTACACTTATCTTTAACCATTGGTAATAGTGCTAATCCACTCTCATCCGACAGTATTAGGAAGAGTTTCTGATCACTCTTAAGAGATGATATGAATTGAATACATTCTTCTTCGTCGCTAAATCGACGTAAATAATCAAATGCGTCAATTAATCGTTTACTTGTACTTTCGTCTTCTGTAATCTGCCGATAGTACCATGCAATTTCAAGTTCTTGTCCAGTGGCTGAAACAGTGTTCAACCTGTTTGTGATAGTTGTTACCATTGGTGTTGTACTTGTGTTATCAGCGTCTAAAATTAGGAAAAAAAAGTAAATCATGTTTGGTGTGTGTCCTACAATCACACTCATTCAAACAAGCAACTCTTGAGTATTTAGAAGGAAAAGACAGTTTCAGTTAAAAATCTGCAAATAGCAGACGACAGTATTAGTACACAGTGGGCATTTTCCCATAGAGCAGACGGACATCTGATTTTTTGAGTTAGAAAATGATTATTTTAGCATAATATGGTCTTACTATGTGTCAGATATTAGCAGAAGTAAAAAAGGTCGACAAAAAGTTCCTTAGGGGGACCCTTGCCGTGAATTTTTGTCAAAAAATGTTTTATTTATAAAACTTACAAACTATACATCATTCGACGTAGTTTTTCACGCTGATTCCGAATATGGCATTATTTGTACGAAAAAGTGCTTTGGTGAGAGAGAAAAATATGAAATACGCGAAAACCCCTTGGGATTTTGGAAAATTCATAAAACCTCCTTGGAAAATATGCGAGATTTTGCGATTTTAGAATACATAGAGTAGCGTTTGAGGAACATTTTGATGTGTTTGAATGTTATTTTCGCGTGGGGCTAACGAGGGCGACCCGACTATATTGGAGTGCTGTTACTACGGACTGACGTGATGGAGAACATGTCGCTCTTACTTATTGAATTCGGTACCGAAATAGAAATATTTTGTTATCAATAGATAGCTGAAGACGTGCTGGTTCTGAATATCTGCTTTGAAATCGCGTAACATAATTGAGTAAGCAAAGAATCTTTATTTTGTATGTAGTAACGATATCCGTAATCGTTTTGTGTACCGTGATTTCTCATCGTAGGAAATTTTCAAAATAGACATTTATATACCATTCGATAGCCCTTTGAAAGAGCTACATTTTCCACTATTTGTATTTGAATTAGGAGCAACTTTGATTTTTCACCTAATTTCCGCCTGGATGCCAACTGTGTAGTAGGCGTCAAAAAAGGCTTTATGAAAAGAACAAGAAGCTCGTTCTTCAGAAAGTGAAAAATATTGTGATACAAACCTTCAGAAAATATCTACGTGATCTCCATTTGACACAAATGAAGCATATTTTTTGGTTTTCTAAAGAACACAGATTTTTACTAGTGTGATCTTCTAGTGATGCGACTAATGCTAATCAACTGTTCAATCGAACTTAAAATACTTTGCCGACTGCTCCAGAACCTCACCTCTTTTATGTGGTTTGTTACCATTATTGCTGCTAGTATATCTATCAAGGATATTGGAAGTTAAAATGGATTTAAATGTTCTAAGTTGAAACTGGATTATTTCCCATACCATATCAACTGCTAAATCCGTACTATTTTGGTCTATTGTCAGTATGGTCATTTGCGTAGGGTGCTGTTGTTGGCTCTGCTGCTGTGAAATAGCTTCTTTTATTTTACTAGAAACAATCAGAACTTGATTTCTGCCGCTATAATTTTGATTGATCAGGTGAATATAATGTAAAAGTTCTACTTTATTATCAAACACTTTGTAGTAAATATAGAACAATTGCTTACAATACTGACGTAATTTGTCAATAATCGATGCATCACTAGAGTTTTCATCATTCACAACTGAAAGATAATAAACATCGATATGAGTAGACAAATATTCATCGTACATACAAATATAAAACTTTTCAATATTTATAGTTAATGATCTAAGCAATAAATACTCATAATCATATTTAACTTCATACATAATCCGTTCATTATTCATTTCAATAATATGATGAATTTGCTGATATAATTCATCGAAATTATACTGTCTCTCATTTTCAATACTAAGTTTCAGGACATCTACCATTGGGTTGGTCGAACTTAGTCTGTATTCTGAATAACTATTCACTACAATTTTCATTGTTTCTATAGCTTTCTCATTGTTTTTCAATCGATAATAAGCAATTGTTAAAAGTTTATAAATTTGATTTATGTGATAATATTTAAGATAAGTCCCCTTTTTACAATATTCTAATGCTATTTGCAGATAATCAATAGCTTTTTGATAATGGATTTTTCTTAGATAAACGGATCCAATTGATTTATAAATGATACCTAATTTCTCATGATCATATGACATCCATTTCCAAAAGATGGAAATTACTTGACTGAAATAAATTAATGCTAGATTATACTGACCGTGCCCAACATGGATAATAGCTTGAAGATTGTAAGATTCTCCGAGTAGTATGTGATCATTTGGTAAACATTTCAATTGTATTCGAATAGCTTTTTTAACATAAATATCTGCTAACTGTAAATATCTCTTATGTTCTGGAACAGATTGATGATAATTGTACTGTAAATAGTAATATGTAGCAAGTGAATAACAATCCATTGCAAGTTCTATACAGCTCATGACATCAGAGGTGGACAATGATAGATACTTTAATCGTACATTCAATGCATTCTTTTGACTGCTTATTGCTTCTGCTACTGATCCGCGGCATATCTGGTGATTAGCTATTGTACTATAAATTTTTGCAACTGTTGTATAGTTAAACGTTTTTGAGTGAAAATAATATTTAACGAGTAATCGGTACAAATGTTTATATTCTGTCGGTGGACCATCTAACTCGGAGACAGTTGGCAATAATCTTACATCCGAGGTACACTGGACTGTAAAATGGTTACGGTTTTCATATCGATCTTGAACTCGTTTTAGGTAATACAAATAAAGTTTATATTCAATGCGACCGATGTTTTTTACAACTGTTTCGACGACAGAATGATGATTTGGAAGCTTAATTTGATCTACCATTAAATTAAACACTGCTCGATAGTATGAGTGTGCTCGAAACAGTTCATTTTTCATTTCACAGATATGACCGATACTTAGAGAAATCAGTATGGTATAATACATATCAGGCTTTATTTTCTCTTGTGCTTTCTTGTAACAATATAATGCTTGTGAAAAAAGCCGTCGTCGTCGATATATATATCCTAGCACTAGATAGATACGCATTGATATATTATTGGTACTCTCCGCTTTCGGCAATCTTTTGAGTAACCTTAACGTTAACCACACAATAAATAATGAAAACAACGGGTTATCATTTACACCAGATGCACGGAAAGCAGCATAACTAAGTGACTGTAAAATATTTACGTAATGAATTGTTATTGAATAGAATTTTAATTTTTCAATAAAAAATTTAACAGCTAACTCATACTGCTTTAACAAACATAGAGTTGAACCGATAATATAGTACTCATAATTGTGCTCCTGATTTTGTGAAAATAAATTTAAATAATTGCTCACATCAGAGTCATCTTGTTTAGATAATACTAGCTGTACTTGCCAAATTTTGTTTTCGTTTTCAAACGTAACTGATTTTAAATCATAAATGGCACATGTAGCAATTATCACTACTGTTTGATCCCTAACTTTCACATACGGTTTCGTCTGTAGTTTTGTATCTATAGTTATTTCAAATAAAACTGATCTCATACCGGACATATCAACATTATCACACATAGCTAGATTTTTATTTTTATTTGTTAATAAAAACTTGTTTATCATTAATTTTCTACCAACGTTTGTCTTAAAGAAATTTAACTGATCCATCAAATTATTTTGAACGTAATAGACTGTTAAAATCGTCGTTTCATCTATAGTAGTAGTAGTATCAACAGCATCGGAAATAGAAGGAGCGTGTTGTAAAAACCATTTTGCATACAAATATGAATATAAATTTCTCATTAGAGATCGACATTTCAATATTTCGTCGAATTTTTCACCCTCTAATGCTTGATTAATAGAGTGTTCAAAACATAATTCTGATTGGGTAACATTGTCAACAGTTTCTTCCTGATCATTATTAAATAAACACAATAGTTGAATCCATAATGATAATGCAATTTTTTGATCGACAATTGCATCAGTTGGCTGATCATCGAAAGACGGAATCACTTCATACAGAGACAGTTCATATAGAATTTGACTATAGTTTACACCATCAGACGGGAGCACATGGAACACCATTTTTTAAAACACTGCTTTAGAAGAGAGACGATATACACGGTGCTTTATATTACAATACGATGAGTGTAGGCAAAAGAACCTAAGAGGCGAATAAAAATAAAGTATCGTGTAACAAATGATGCATAATATTATTTCTTCACGTTATTAATGTTTCACCTATACCCGATAACTTTTTTATAATTAAAGGACCAAAATGAATAAACAGACTTGATTTAGTTTTATGTATCAACGCATAAACATATCAGATCATAAAAACTCAAAAACTTATTCCTTACATCTGTTCAAAGAAAATGAAATTGGAAAAAGATAGTTACTAAATAGAAGGACAACAAGCTACAGAGAATTTTTCTTTTCTAAATAAAATTGCGATAGAGGCCCAGCTTTTACCAAATATATCAGGTAATGCGCAATACGCCTCATTGTATGAATTACTAAACAATATTTTTTAATTTGGATAGCAGAAGCTCATATTTTAGTATCGTCAAGTTTTCGACCAATATTTTCGCTACGTGTTTTCCGACTAATTCTAGCATAAGGAGCAATAATTTTTCAGCGGTTCATATTCTGATGTATATTCAGCATCACTTGAATCCAAAATAAACTCACTTTCAATTTTCCACCTAATGTCCACGTGGTTGCCCACTATGAGACGTATCTACAAAACAAGGGTGCGTATCATTAGTAAATGATTCATGAAATTCTGACTAATAATATTGTCGATTGTGCTCAGACCGTATAACGATACAAGATGCATTTAGGGTGCTTGATAACCTTTCAGTTTTATCTTCTGTTCCTCTCATTCACATGTCTTTCTAACTATGAAAAATTTAAAAAAGCAAAGTTAACGCTTAAAAATGGTTCGTTCTGAATGATCGAACGAGGATAATAATGATAGTTAGTTGTGTTGCAGAAGGTTTAGAATAATAAAATATCTCTTCAGAACGGAGAAAAATGGGGGAATAGAATAAAAAGCGCTAGTTTCCACGCAAAAACAGTTTTTCGTCTCTTTCTCGAAAACTAAGAGTTGTCCAAAAAAACGGGTAGCATATTCGGAATCCTCGTGAAATTGCGAATCAGAATATGTATTTTGTTTCTCTTATTTTCAGCCCGATGGAAAATCGAACGTTTTCCTATGAAAAGTAAGTAGCTCCGACTTTTTCACTACTCTTGTTCTATATATTTTTATCGTTCTTTATTTTTAGGAAAAAGCCGTCTGTTATTTCGTGAAGAAGTGAAAGTTGTTAGTTTCAGTTTCGTTAATTATGGAAAACGAAATGGTCACCCGATTTAAAATCATCAGCTGAATGAAAAATTTAAACACAAATACTTTATCGCTCGTTAGAAAATTGATCTGGTATTAGATTATCTGTAAGTTGAACCTATCTTCCTATTACCTCCTCTGATTGTTTTATTTTTTATCTTACTTTTTAGAAATAAACTTCCTGATTTCGAAAATATGGAGTAGAGTTCATCTGAAGACGATGACGAAAATGACGTTCAGCATAATGATAAATGTTGGTAAGGATTTAAGCGTGAACCCTCTATTATTAATTTTCTAACATGTCTTTTCATCCGTTTCTCTTTTCTCTTCAGTTACAACACCAAAAGCAGCAGCGACACGACAAATTCCAATTGCTCCTCCTCCAACAACAGCTCCAAAACGCGTCTTGAAAGTCTCTTCGTCTTCAAATACGTTTGGCTATGAATTATTGTTATCACTAGGTATGTTACAAACCCAAACCCAAGCCACGTAGGTGTATAGAGTTGGGTAGTGGGTTCGCTCTTAGTCAGTTGTCAAAAGACCATTCTTCTTCTTCCTCTTTAAGTACAACTTATCAGTAGTAACTTGACGACTTTCTTCTATACGTTTCATTTGTCTCTTTCTTCGCATTGACCTTATTTTCCCTAACAAATATCTGTTCTTTTTAAAAAGGCTTTTAATTTGGGAAAGTACTGTCAACTGAAATCTGTTTTGTACATGTATTTAAGACACTGAAAAATAACGATGTTATTCGCAAAATAAATAGCATAAAAGAACTCAACTTTTTTAGACATTTCACCTAATTTAAAGAAAGTTCTTATCGTCACTGTCTTGCCACAGGATGGATCGTTTCCCTTTGCTGCAAACTCAATACTCGTGAAATAATTTCATATTGCGGCAATCACCTCTGAAACTTCTTTACCCTTTGAGACAGTAAACTTCCGTTAGATTATGGAGCTATTCTATAGTTCATACTTCTAATACACTTCCATTCACTCCATTACATTTCATCCATTTCACAAATCTCATACACTTTCATACATCCTATACACCTCATACGTTTTCCTACATTTACATACATCTCATACATACAACCATGCATTTCTCTTTTTCCATTTTATCTGACTAGTTCTGTTGTCTCTTGATTCTTGAATAGATTGTCTCTCTGATTTCTTGCATTCGGTTATTTCTCAATATAGATCTCTTCCTGTCCTTTCTGAGGGGACTGATGGCTTTTTCAATCTAGAAATGTATCAAATTAGACTTCTAGCTTGGACATAAAGTGACAGCCTCTGCATCGAAGAACAAAATCGATCGATTTTTCTAGCTTGATAGATGCTTTACATACACTGCCCATATAAACCGCGATGAATGGTCTCATCAAATTTGAATCAAACAGATATCGTTTTCTCGATTGTCGCGCATGCTTATCTCGATGGAGGCCGTGCTAATTTCAGCATTCAGTTCGATCTAAGTCGGTCTTAGAAAAGTCGCCCGTCAAAGGGAAATTACTGCGGCTTGTGAGAGACAGAAGATAGCGTGAACAATAACACATATGACACATTTTATTTTCATGAGACAAAGTGCATACATCATTACAAATTTATGAAAATACAGTAAAACCTACTTATATAGGCGCACTGGGCGCTTTTTAGGCTTACGAAAAGAATTTTACTGCAAATGAAACGCTGTGGAGTAGGTATCTTCGTACACTGCACATCACATTTGTTTAACTCTGCGAAAAGCAATATTAGGCGATAAAGCAAGAGTCAGATCAGCTCAAGAGTTAAGAAAAGTCATACACACTGAGTTGGAACGAAGAGAATTAACGTAGAGCAATAATCAGATATAGAGTCCCTAGTGTAATTTCACTGTGTGGTGGTAAGTATGTCAGACATTAGATCCTGTTACAGCTCTTTTACCTCTTTAATTAAACTCTAGTTTATTCAGGTGCACTACACCCTTTGCCATGAAAAAATGTTGCAACAGAAACAACAATCTATATCAGACGATGATGAAGGAAAAAGGACTTCTCTTGCTAAAATGATGGTGAAATTCTGCTAAATTTTCTTTCTTTCTTCGTTGTTTGTACTGGAGATAAATTTAATCTAAACTTTCTCCGTTTTTAGTACATGTCGGGACAGGCCATTACATTTTGTTTACAGTTTGATCCTACGCCGAAAGGTAAGGGTCTTTTGCAGTTTAGTTAAGTTAATTGCTTACTTTAAATACATACAAAGAAGAAAGAGAATAAAAGATTTCTTATGAGAGAAACATCGAAGTAGAGATGTGCACGGGTACGATTTTCATACCCGTACCCGACCCGAAAATTTCATTTTTACCCGTATCCGCACCGTAGTACCCGTACCCGAAAACGCAAACGTGCTAAAACAATATATATGTATAATATAATATATATCTTTGGGATAACACCACCACCTTTACATGTTTCAACGTGTAACTTATGTGAATTACTTCCAGTTTTCTGTGCATCATAAGATAATATTGATTTGCATTTAATACATTGAACAAATGGAATAATCTTTTGTTGATCATCTTGGATACGTTGAAACGAATTCTAAATCAATCCCATTTGAAAATATTTCAACATGTCTACCTTGAAGCCCCTCAGCACATTTTATAACGCTTCCGCGCATGTTTCAGTTGGTTCCATACGAAAAACTGCGTTGACTGACGCGGCATCCGCTGAGTTCGACGCGCTTCTAGCAGATCTGATATTATAGAAATGTTCAATAGAGACAGGATCAAAATCTTTCGCAATTAGGAAAGACATTTTTGCCATATGTTAGATTAAAGGAACAGAAAGATGGAAGAAAGAAAAAGGAAGAATGGAGAATTATAAACAAGCGTAAGGAATATCTACTGACTAGCCTTCAAGTTAGTAATATATCAGTATAACTAGGTTCCGCGTGTATAGTTTTTAAATAAAACACAAAATAAACATGACACTTTTCTCTAACTTTAGCCATTGAGTAGGCCAATCTAACAACTTTCGACACCTGGTAATAAAAATTATTCAATTTCTTTTCTTTTCATCGAGTTTCGGTTGAGATGTTGACACTAAGTATGCCCTGGTATCAGTATCCATACAAAAATACCGATTTTCATTGGACATTTTTCAATTTTGTTTAGATTTTTTGGAATTTTACTGGGACTCCCGACGAGCCCCCGTGGGACTCTCGCGGGATTTTTTTCCGGGACTCTCGCGGGACTTTGACCGGGAGTCTCGACTAGGGAAGAATATCACATTTTAAAAGATTTTAAATGCCGGCACGGGGTTCGCAGCTCGCTCGCAAAATTTTGTTTCTCATGAATTCTACAGGGCGCTTGCTATCCGATTTTCTCTAGGATGACAGAACCGATCGAACCGCAACTTTCAGGATATATACTAGACATGATGACAAACAAAATATGTCATTGGACTCACCCTCCAAAGCACTCAGGTATCTTACTACACTCGTTCCAAAATGAAGCAAAAACTAAAAAATGGGTCATTTTGAAATGCAGTTTTCACTACGAAGAAAAAGTCAAAACTCAGAACCGAGTAGTGGACTGGATTCCTCATGATCTAAACTACAGGAAAAGAATTCTCATTCTGCAAGATCTCACTGCGAAGCCTGCTGAGAGGCATCTTTGACAACTAAAGTGCATTTTTTTCCGTTTTTGTCAGTTTTACGCCACATTTTTCATTGGAAAAGAGTTATTCCCATCTGCCACG